AGTTCTTTAATTGGCACAGGTGAACACCCTTGCTGCAGAGAAATTGTACTCCCTGGCGGGGGACTGGGCGAGCTTGGGTCCTGATACCTTGCTTTTCGACGTTTGTTGTGGAACTGGAACAATTGGTCTGACTCTGGCTAATCGAGTTGGTATGGTAATGTTCACCACTCCATTAAATTCTAAATTTTGCTTTTTTGAAATTCTTTTGCTTCATGGTGTTAAATATTTGCCCGAATAACTCACTATATCTACCTTTACCTCTATTTTAAAAATGTCCTACTTTGATTACTCCAGGAGTTAGTAGCAATACTTCCAAGTAAACTATTATGTGGAGTTAGGCAAATAAGTGTTTTCATCTGTTATCCCCAATTGAATGTCTTAGTTTTACTTTATACATAATACTTTTTTTAAGTATGGTACATATATTAAGATAAAATTCGATAGCTTAAATGCGTAATATTTGTGGTGGTACATATGGATGGGCTAATTGTGTTTACTTTTTCATTCTGGAAATAAAATAGAGAAAAATTTGTGTTAAACACTGTGAAGGTTTCATCAGAGAAAATAAATCTTCTTAATACGAATTGAGTCGAATTTTGGGATGTTACTGAAAGCTAGATATCCAATTTGGGATGGAGTATAGTTTGAAACGAAATATGTTTGGTTAACTATGAATATGTCAGTTCAAATTCAAGATAATATAAGTTAGTATCAGTTTATAACAACAACAACAACCCAGTGTAATCCCACAAGTGGCGTCTGGGGAGGGTAGTGTGTATGCAGACCTTACACCTACCTTGTGAAGAGTAGAGGCTGTTTCCGAAAGACCCTCGGATAAGTTAGTATCAGTTTTTATTGTTTGAATTCCCCATTTGGGGACATCCAATAAAATTGGGTGGATATAGATTTGTTTAATTGTTGGAGGGAGAAAATTTCCTGTTTAAATAAGAGGTGGACCATTTGACTTACTAGGAGAGTAAGTTAAGCAGTTCGGACACGGAGAGAACTTTTGAGGGGATCATAAAATAAATAAAATATCTATAATGCTACTCTCATTTTTCTGTTAGCTTAGTATTTAGTTCTTGTTTAAGAGAAGTGCCTCTTACTTACATTTTGTAACAGGAAGTAAAATCTATATGCACATTGAATATGTTTGAATGTCTTGAGATGATAAGAAGTTTTTTCTGATCAATTTTTTCAGGTTGTTGGCATTGAAATGAATGCCTCTGCGGTCTCTGATGCTCAAAGAAATGCAGAAATCAATGGGATAAAAAACTGTAGATTTTTTTGTGGAAAGGTCAGATTGGACTACATCTTTACTGGGTTTCTCATTCTTTCTTCACCCTTCCCTTCCGTATTATAGGTCTGCCCGCTGGCTGGTCATACTTGGTCTATAAAATAAGTCACTACCAATAGATTTTGTTCATATTTTTAATTTATTTCCTTTTGGTCATGGCCGCGAAATTATACAGTGTTGATTTACTGGTAGTAATTTATACTTTTTTTTTAGTCAGGTTGTGTAATTCATGTTGTTACTAAATTTAAAGTTCCATTTATAGCTTAAAACAGCAGGAGATTACTCCCCCCCCCCCCCCCC